TTTACATTGTGAAATGAGTACTAAGTATTAACCTCCCAAATTTCAAGAAAATGTAGAATAACTACAGATGTATTAATTAGCATTTACCTGTCCACAAATATTTTAGGAAATCCTATCATAGACAGTGTTTCCTCTATATAAAACTGGAAAAAACAAGAATTAAGTCCTTTTGGCGAATATAGCAAGGCAATGTTTAGTTCATTTTTAAATGTGGAAGTCCTGTTACATGACGTTTTCATCTTTGAACTTCCAAAAGGCTATAAAATTGGCTCTTCTTAAATATTCTAGGATTTCATTTCAGCTATTTCCTTTTTACATTCAGAAGATTGGGTGCAGATACTTTCACTTTGCCAGGAATGTTTCTTGATAAATCTGTGTCCTAAAAAAAGAAAATTGCTGAATATCTTCACATTCTATGTGGTCAGTCATGTTTCTTTTATGACAATTATGTATCCTCTGCTGTCAAAAGAAAGGCATTTCCAAAATTTTTAGCTGAAATATTTTCTATTGTTTTTGGTAAAAAATGCTGTCTTACCGAAAGCAGTAAAATAAACTGCTAACATTTTTAATTGTACAACTAATCTCCACTTTCCTTTTCTGAAGGAAAACTTTACCTTTACACTGCGGAATAAGTCTTTTTCTCTTGCTGTTGCTTCTTTGGAATGCATGAAACTATTCAAGGCTGTTTTTGCAGCTGTAAATAGAAAACAAAGAATCTACTTCTGTTCAATCAATGAACTGTTTAAAATAATTCAAAAGAAAAATTAAATACCTTTTCCCTTTTTCTGAACTCCAGGAGTAAGTTTCACTTTGTATCTTTAAAAAGGAGATTTGCATGTGTTACTAAATAGAGATTACAAAACAACTCATAAAAAGTCATTATGTCAACTGTTTTAAGTAAACTAATGGTGACTTACTTATAGTTTGTCATGGTGGTGTAAGGAGCACATATTGGAATAGCAAACAGTAGTATATCTTCAGCATGTGGCTGTCCTGTCAAAGAGTCAAATAGATTTTCCTAAAAAGGGAAGATAAAAACAATTACATAATTTATACGAGTCTTAAAGGAAAGTACTAAAGCACTGTTGAATTAATATCTCAATATATTTTTATCCTTTTCTGATAGGCATATAGTCTAAGTAGGAATAGTGGCAGTGCTTAAACTCTGCTTTAAAGTTCCAAAGAGTTAAAGACTAATGCTTAAATATGTTATTCTTTACTACTTAATTTTTGCCTAGCGTAGTAAGTAATGAAAACAATGATTTTCAAAATATCACCTATAGATACATTTAAGAAAAAGGTGGAGGCCAGGCATGGTGGCTCACGCCTATAATCCTAGCACTCTGAGGGCCGAGGCGAGAGGATTATTTGAGCTCAGGAGTTGGAGACCAGCCTGCGCAAGAGCAAGACCCCGTCTCTACTAAAAATATATAGAAAAAATTAGCCGGGCATGGTGGTGCATGCCTATAGTCCCAGCTACTTGGGAGGCTGACGCAGAAGGATTGCTTGAGCCCAGGAGTTTGAGGTTGCTGTGAGCTAAGCTGACGCCACGGCACTCTAGCCTGGGCAATAGAGCAAGACTCTGTCTCAAAAAAAAAAAAAAAAAAGAAGGGGGAAAACTTGCTGGATATTACTTAAGTTGCAGAAAACTACTATGCATTAAAATGATGCACAGTAATGATCACAAATAAATTTAAGGCCCACTGCATGAAAATGGGACTGATACTTTGGCTAGTCCAGTGGTTCTCTACCATTGCCCCCAAGAAAACATTGGGCAATGTCTAGAAATAGTTCTGATTGTCACAATGAGGGGTAGTGGGTGCTACTGGCATCTAGTAGGTAAAGGCCAGGGATGTTGCTAACCATTTTATAATGCATGGGACAGCCTCCCCCAACAAAAAAATTAACCATCTCATATTAATAGTGCCAAAGTTGAGAATCCCTGAGCTAGAGTAGCCTTTTCTCTTCCTGTTCTTGAAGGAGAAATCCCAGGGCCTCTTAAGAGCTCTCATTTGGCAGGCTGCTGACAAGATTGCCCCTATTTGTTTAACAATATGAGTAAACTTAGGATTTAGGACAAAATGCTTGGTGCAGAACTGTAATTGATAGTTGAGTGTTTGCTATGTGCCATAAACTTTTCTAAATGCCCTTGACATATATTATCTTCTCAAAACAACTCCCTCCTGGTAGGGACAGTTATTATCCCTATTTTTCACATGAGGTAATAACTGAGGCACAAAGAATGTTTCCAAGTTTGCACAGTTACATATAGCAGAGTTGGGATTAAAACCCAGAAAGTTTGACTCTAGAGCCTGTAGTCTTGTCTTATTAGCTTTTTACATTTTAATTAATTGTGTATCAAATATTCTTGGAACTAGGTTGCTGCAATGAGAGTGTTGGTAGTAGGAACCCCAACACAAAATCATACCTCATTTCCCTGTTGATCCAGATCTTGTTCTTCCTGTTCCAACATATAAAAATAAAAGTCAGCTATAACTTAAAATGAAATTCCACACCATTAAACCATGAAGAGAAAGAAACAGTGATATAACAAGACTGTCATATCTAACCCACAGGATGGGGGCCCCAGGATGTATTCTTTGGTGTCCCAAGACTTTGATGTGTTGTGTATGTATTTAATACTTAATAAGCAATGCCATTCAAAGAGAAAAAGGATGGTTCTCTGAAGTGGAGGGGGAAAAGCCCCCAAACTTTCACATAAAGTATATGTTAAAACAGTGAAAGTTATAGGGACAATTTGAAATGACAACTAAGGTTAATATGTTTACCAGGAAAAAAGAAGATGGAGAATTCTGGTAAACAGAATTTTTGTTTTTAAATCTCTATTCAGCAGTTTTAGGATAAATTTTTCACATACTAAGATATTCTTAATTGTGTTTGCTTATCTATGTAAGAAAAATATCTAGAGATAACTTACTGTCTTAGTCTGTCCAGGTTGAATATCTTAAACTGAATAATTTATAAACAACAGAAATTTACTTCTCACAGTTCTGGAGGCTGGAAAGTCCAAGGGGAAGGCACCAACAGATTCAGTGTTTGGTGAGCCTCAAAGATGGCGCCTTGTTGCCATGTCCTCACATGGCGAAAGAGCACTCCCTTCAACCTCTTTTGTAAGGGCCATCATGACTCAGTCACTTACTTAATACTATCACATTGTGTATGTAGGTTCCAGGTTATGAATTTTGGGGGGATATCAACAGAACATTCATAATTATCACCTCTAATGAGTATTTACAAGTATATGGTTTACAGAATAAATTACAGAATATGGGAATAATATAAATATTTGAGAGCTAAAATGAGTTTAAGTATTACTAAACAACACTGTTCAGCAGGGGAAAAAAACAAAATGGCAATATACAATCTGTAAGCATTATCTGTAATAAACTATACTTATGAGCATATATAACTCAAGTTTTAACTAAAAACAATGCCGGTGATGAAAATAAAAATTTTTGATTCAGCCTGATTTGATTTTAATCAGTTATTAAAATAGAATTTCAAGAAGATGTATATATATTCATGTAAGAAGGTATACTTGAGACTGGGCTTATACTCAATTCATAAAACAATTAGGTAATCATAGCTGGAAAAATACAAACTTCTTACTGGTTTTGCAACAAGAGTACTTGGCACTTTAACTGTATACCCATTTTCAACGTTAAGAATATAACAGATTCCCACAGAAAAGCTTAAAGAAGTGAGGCCAGGTGTGGTGGCTCACGCCTGTAATCCTAGCTCTCTGGGAGGCCAAGGTGGGAGGATCGCTCGAGGTCTGGAGTTTAAGACCAGCCTCAGTAAGAGCGAGACCCCATCTCCACTAAAAACAGAAGGAAATTAGTTGGGCACCTCTAAATATATATAGAAAAAATTAGCCTGGCATGGTGGCACATGCCTGTAGTCCCAGCTACTCGGGAGGCTGAGGCAGAAGGATTGCTTAAGCCCAGGAATTTGAGGTTGCTGTGAGCTAGGCTGACACCACAGCACTCTAGCCTGGGCAACAGAGCAAGACTCTGTCTCAAAAAAAAAAAAAAAAAAAAGAAAAGCTTAGAGAAGTGAAAATTTATTTTCCATTCATCTTCAGGACAATCTCAATTCTTTGTCTTATTTTCACTAAGTCAGTTCCCATCAGAATCAAAGCCTCTCCATAAAATTATTTTCTAAAGGCTTGTGATAAAATTTTTATCGGCAGTCAACACTACTATTATTATGCTTAGATAATGCAATTTTAGTCTTTCAGGTTGTATTTCTGAGATGATGTTCCATTAAGAGTAGGATTATTGCTTGTCCTGGTTTTAGCACTTTAGGTCCCATGTCCTTGGAACCCTGCGATGATTAGTCACCCTAAAAGAAGCAAAAGCCCACATGTGTAGTAGCCTTACCTTGTCATCATGTGGATCATCTACAGCTAAATCTTGTAATTCATGCGTTATAACTTCAAGAGATGGAGTTTCTTTCTTAATGCTGTCAGAAACCCTTGGCCCACCTCTGGGTTTCTGGGGCTGTTTTTTCACAGGTTCATCCTTTGTTTTTCCTTTCTTCCCTTTCTTTCCTTTTTCTTCTTTGTTTGAACCTGCAGACTTTAATTAATTGAAAGATCAATTAATGTTAGTATTTTCAATGTTGTCAATATTTTAACAAAAATGTATTGAATGCTTATCATGCTAGGCAGTGGGCTGGATGCCCATTGAAAAGCAAAAGAAAAAATGTTTTTACATGTTACATACCCCCAGCAATTTCATGATAAGTTCACGCTCTTCTTCATCCTGGTCTTTGTATTTTTCCTTCATTTTTTTCATTTTACTCTATAAAATCAGAAGATTTTGGTTAGAAAAATTCAGCAGTAAAAATTATCAATAAATACTTGTAAAGAAAAGGTGCTTCTTTAATCCTCTGTCAAAAATGCTTATTGAACAGGTACCATTATAATAAACAATCTGAGGCTACCTAAACCATAGGCCTCATCCTCAAGGAATTTACCATCTGGTGGAGAGAAGATACATGAAGAAGTAAAGATAAATTAATGTAACATTTTAAATACTGTAAGTGCAAAAAAATTATTTCTAAGAAAATTTCGAGAAATTTTCAGTTTGAGTAAGAAATGTGGTGAAGAAATAAAAGTAAAACTTGAAAGCAAGAATAAAAAAGACAGGAGAGAGTAGTATCAGCAAATCATCACATTTGGTTGGAGTTAGAGTACACACAGGAAGAACAGGAAATGGAAGTGGCAAAGCTAGGCTGGGCACTTACTGTAGAGCTCTTAAGACTGAATTTTATCAACAAAACCAGTGATTCCTTTACCCTGATGACACACCCACATTACCCTAGGGGTTTTGAATATAGACACCTAGGCTCCACCTCTATAGATTTTTGTCTTGATTTAGTCAGATTAGCTGGGGCCCAAACAACAAATTTCCAAAATTTTAAAGATTTCTTTAAACAGGACACAAATAAACACTTAACTGCAAAAGAAAGGACTGATAAATCAGACTTCATTAAAATTAACAAATGCTATTCATTAAAAAACACACTTTTACAAAAGTGAAAAAAAGCAGACCCCAAAGTGTGAAAAGTGAAAAAGTACTTGAATACATATATCCAAAAAGGACTTGTAGTCAAGATTACAAATAACTTCTATACATCAATTAGAAAGATGAGACAACCCAACTTTTAACATGGGCACTTCAAAAAGAGGATATTCAAAGGTCTAATAAACATGAAAAATAAACCGAAAGTGAGTCATCAGTATTGTGTATCACTTAAATGACTAAAAAAAACAAACACCTGACAACACCAAGTGTTAGGATGTGGAGCAGCTGGAACTCACATACACCACTTGGTGGGAAACTGATACAATTACTCTGGAAAACTGATTGGCAGTATCTAATAAAGCTGAACACAACGTGTACACCATTATCCACCAAATTCCACTTCTAGGCACACTGAACAGAAATGCATACTTGTGGACCCAAAGACATGTGGGGACATATTTAGAAAGGGCAAGAAGTGAGCCTTCTGAAGTGCTGGAAACATTTCAAGTATCTTGATCTGGGTGGTGGTTTCACAGATACATGTGCATATGAAAATTCACTAAGTTAAAAACTTATGATTTGTGCATTTTACTGTATGTATATTGTACATACAGTACAATTAATGTAGAGGATAAAATTAATGTTATTACCATAAATTGAACTGAGAAATGGAAAACCTAATGAAAAAAGCAGAGTTTCTTAGAAAATATAACTTAGGAAAACCAACTTCAAAAAAACCCCCAGAAAACCTGAATGGATTTAAAAATCATTAAAAGACATTGAATTAGTTCTTAAAAACCTACACACAAAACCCAAAACATCAGTTTTTTAAGCAAATGCTATCAAATTTCAAGAAACAATTTGCATTTTATACAAAGTTCTAGAGAGCAGAGAAAGAAAATCCTAAACTTCTCTTATGAAGCTAGTATAAACTAGATACCCAAACCAGGCAAGGACAGTATGAGAAATTAAAAGGCCAATTAACAGATTTTCTCAAGTAGTATACCATATCAACTGATTAATAGAGAAAAATAATGCAATAGATGCAGAAAAAGCATTCAATAAAATTCAACTTGTCATTACTAAAAATAAACAAAAAGGTATTTTCTGACAACCCACAGGAAACATCCCGCAATGATAAGAATCTCGGAAATAGTCCCCTGAATGAAATTAACAAAAATATACACTATTACTACTTATATGAAGCACTATGCTGATGTTGAGTCAGTGCAAAAAACATGGGAAAAATAAGATATTAGGATTATAAGAGAAAAAAAGCCATTATTTGTAGACAAAACAACTACCTACATATGAAGTATTAATAAGATTGCCCATTAAACTGTCTTCCCATTTACCAGCAACTAATAACTAGGAAATGATATTAAAAATATACTGTTTACAAAAAGTAAAAATTGTAAGAAAAAATATAAAGGACCTAGGACTAGATAAGATGGGTAAGACTTCTGCGGGAAAATATATCTTTATTGAAGAATGTAAAATATTCTTAGTTATAGTGCACATTCTCCATAATTATCGTCCACAAGTATAGTCTTCTACAAGAGGACTCAATGTGGTAACGATGACAGACAATTCTCCACAAAATAATCTAAAATTTTAATGTATTTTAATAATTCTAACAAGATTTGCCTTGGAACTTAACCTATCTGTAGAATATTTCATTGTATAAATGCACCATTTATCGTCATGTTATTTCATATTGTTGGACATTTAAGATTATTTTCAGGTTTCTTTGCTATTATAAATATCAACCTGATGAACATCCTTAGTGTTCATACCCATAATTCTTTTTTTAAGGATAAATTCCTAAAAGTGGAATCACTGAGTCAAAGGGTAGATGCATTTCTGACGAGTGTTCCCATGCTATACACTTATTTACTGAATGACTGAACACATAATATCTGTTAATTTGATGAATGTAAACAAATTCCCCATGGTTTACACAGCATTTTTTTCATCACTCTTTTCTTTTTTTTAGATTCTTTCAATTTTATTGATGGTTCTTTCTTCCACCTGGATTTTACTTTGTTTTCACATGGTTAACTGTGTGAAAATCATTATCAATTTTAAATATTTCATATCTTCCCAAATGATCTGTAATATTTTATCAGACAATAAAATTTAACGTATACATTTAATAGTCCTATGTCTAGATTTTATTCTGTGTCACTTTTCTGTCTGGCTATACCCATGTAAATACCATACTGTTTTAACAGTTCTAGCATTAAGTGTTTTACTACCTACTAAGGAAATACCTCCTCATTAATCTTTTCAAGATTTCCTTGGCTATCCTCTAGCATTTACTCTTTAAAATGAACTCTAGAATTATTTTATCAAGTTTATTAAAATCTCAATTCTGATTAAAGTCGTGTTGAATTTTCATATTAATATGAAGAAAATTTATATTTTTATTATATCTTGAGGCTTCCATTCCATATACATAATATGTCCCTTCATTTATTTGTGGCTCACTGGAAAAAAGAAAAGGAAATTCTGACCACTATGGATATAGGAAAGAACATAAAACATCTTTATAAAGATTGTTGCTGGGGCCGGGCGCGGTGGCTCACGCCTGTAATCCTAGCATTCTGGGAGGCCGAGGCGGGCGGATTGTTTGAGCTCAGGAGTTGGAAACCAGCCTGAGCAAGAGCGAGACCCTGTCTCTACTAAAAATAGAAAGAAATTAATTGGACAACTAAAAATATATAGAAAAAATTAGCCGGGCATGGTGGCGCGTGCCTGTAGTCCCAGCTACTCGAGAGGCTGAGGCAGAAGGATTGCTTGAGCCCAGGAGTGTGAGGTTGCTGTGAGCTAGGCTGACGCCACAGCACTCACCCTAGCCCAGGCAAAAAGAGTGAGACTCTGTCTCAAAAAAAAAAAAAAAAAAAAAAAGATTGTTTCTGGGTGCAAGTGGCTTGCACCTGTAATCCAGCTACTCAGCAGGCTAAGGTGGAAGGATCACTTAAGCCCAGGAGGAGGTCAAGCCTATAATGTGCTATGATCACACCTGTGAATAGCACTGCACACCAGCCAGGGCAACTCATAGTGAACCCTGTCTTAAAAGAAAAAAAAGGACTGCAAAGGAATGCTTTTAAAATTAAAATTAAAGAAATTTAGATACACTGATAAATTATCCCATAATCCCCCTTTTTATACTGCTACAGCATTTTAAAAAGTATGTTCTATATCCAGTACTACGTCCTTCATCACCAACCTTTAATAAAATATGTAAGAACTCTAATCAAAATCACACTGATAACTGAAAAAGAAACTACTAAGTTAAATTATCATTAACTGTCAGCTCTGCCACTTACTATCTGGGTGACTCTGGCAAATCACAATCTCCTATTCCTCCTTCAACATAAAATGAGTGCTTCTGTGCAGATGATCTTAAAGGTCTAAAGAATTTATAACTGATCTCTTTTATGTTTCCTAAATATGGTATCTTTTCAACTAATTTTCAGTCAAAGGAAGTCACAAGATTTTTTTTTTTTTTTTTTGGCCTACATCTGCTATTTTACTTACACTTTAAACAATTAAGAAGAACCTTATAAATTCATTTGTGAACCATATTATACTAACTTTGACAGATCATCCTGAAGTTTATTACCTTTTGTCCTCGCTTCATTGGCTGCACAGCTGGAACATTTTTGCTTGTGTTCTGATGGGTTTCAATGTGTACAGCACTTTCTTTTTCTTTGTCCTTTCCCTCTATCACTTCTAAATCCCCTGAGTCACTTGGAAGCTTTTTCTTCTTCATTTCCCTAGATATAAATGAAACGAAAACATCTAATTCTTAGAATTTCATATTCTTGTGCCCTAAAAAAATTCCATGAGAAGGGGAACATGTACAGTATTCTACTTAACTTGATAATCACCAAGCTACAGTAAACAAAGATGCTCAAATCATCACAAAGAAAAATGGTGAAAATTTTTAATCTCTCATGGATTTATCATTCTTTCTGTCATCCAGCCTCAACGCACTGTCACCCTTGACTTATCCTTATTCATTAGTCACATTCAGTCCTTGAGCACCCTGAAGGCCAGGTCCTGGTTTTAGTACTCTTTGTATCAGCATGGCCTTGGCAAATCTTAGCCATTCAATAAAACATGTATTGACAGAATGTCTGAACAAATAAATGGATCTTTAAAAATATGCAGATTCAGGAGAAAGGGGAAATTCTATTCCTGTGATTTTTCTTTCTATTCCCAATGCCAGTACCTAGTCCAGGTCCCCACCACTTCCCACTGACTTCTTCCAACATGTCCCTCATAATCTGTTCTACCTGAACTTCTATATTAATCTTCCTTAATTGTTTACCTATGTCACATTCCCACTCAAAATCTTCCAAAGGTTCCCTTCATATCACTTTCAGGATAAAGTTCAAAAGCCTTAGTGTGTCATCGCAAGTACTCCACTTTTTGTCCAAATTCACTTCTCCAATCTTATCATCTACCAATTCACAAACATGAACTTTCTCCTCCTTTCATCTCAGTCTACTCACCATTGCCCCAAAGCACCATGCATATTACTTCCAAACCCTCTCCCCTTTGTTAATGCTAATTTTCCTTGGAGTCTCCCTCCTTCTTCATATACCTTCATTTACTTAAATGCTAACACATTTTCAAGGTGTACGTCTGATGGTATTTCCCAAAACATCTGAACTCACAGCAATCTTGTTTCCCGAACTAGTGTATCACTTTCAGAAAACACTATTTATATATTTATGACTATTTCCTGAATCCAGGACTCAAAAGCTTCTTGAAGGCACGAACTTTATATTTTTCCTTTTTGTATACTTGGTCTCTGGAATAGTGCCACGTTCTCAGAGTTCTCTGTAATTGTTTAATGATGATATTTCTCAAACAGAAAGACTTTATTTTCCATTCTAATCTAGAGTTTCTTCCTGGAGTGAGTTAGTAGTCTTAGTCTTTCTCACCCTACAGTAGTCCCCTCCCTTCTGTCCTTGCCTTTCTACTTGCCTCTCGAGATCTGCTATTAAAAAAAAAAATCAAGTCTTCTGCCTTACATAAAACTTTCTTAGTTAATTTAAGGTATTCCTATTTATTCCTGTCAATATTATCCTAGAACCAGCCTGTCTAATACACTGTAATCATTATTGTATATGTTTATGTAATAACATTGTTTCATTCAATGCCATTTTGTTAATAATGTTGACAAGGAAAAAACTGATTCTGGGCTGGGGCACTGCCTGTGTGGAGTTCGCATGTTCTCCCTATGTCTTTGTGAGTTTTCTCCAGGTACTCCAGTTTCCTCTCACATTCCAAAGATGTGCACATTAAGTTAACTGGTATGTCTAAATTGGCCCAGGATGAATGAGTGTGGATGTGAGTGCACCCTGTGATGGAATGGCATCCTGCGCTAGGCTGGTTCCTACCCGCTGTCCTGAGCTGCCATGACAGGTTCCAGCCATCAGAGGCCCTTAACTGGAATAAGTAGGTTAGAAAATAAATGAATAAATATAAGTGACTGTCAAATAAATATTCATAAAGTACAGGATAATCAGGCCAGGTGTGGTCACTCATGTCTGTAATACTAGCACTTTAGGAGGCTGAGTGAGGTGGGAGGATTGCTTGAGGCTAGGAGTTCAAGACGAGCCTCAGCATATAGCAAGACCCTTGTCTCTACAAAAAAACAAAAATTAGCTAGGCATGGTGGTGTGTGCCTATAGTCCCAGCTACTGGGGACACTAAGACAGGAGAATCACCTGAGCCCAGGAGTTTGAGCTTGCAGTGAGCTGTGATGATGCCATGGCACTCTAGCCCTGGCAACAGAGTGAGATTGTGTCTGAAAAAAAAAAAAAGTATATAATAATCATACATATGCATGACAATAGATGCATTACGCAGTACAAAAGTAGCCAGCAAGCTCACCATCTTTGTTATTATTTTAATTTTTTTTGAGACAAGGTCTTGCTCTGTCACCCAGGCTGGAGTGCAGTGGCATCACCATAGCTCACTACCGCTTCCAACTCCTGGGCTCAAGTGATCCTCCTGCCTCAGCCTCCTAAGTAGCTGGGACTACAGGCACATGATGCCATGCCTGGCTAATTTTTTTATTTTTATTTTTGTAGAGACATGGTCTACCTCTGTTGCCCAGGCTGGTCTTGAACCCCTGGCCTCAAACAATTCTGCCTTGGCCTCCCAAAGTGCTGGGATTATACGGGTGAGCCACTGCGCTCAGCCATGTTATTGTTTGTCTTTGAACTGCATGGTGATAGGAAATGCTCTTAATAATTTCACTTGGCAAATATTTAACTACCACTACTAGGCCCATCAATAACGGATTCACCAAAGATTGAGTAAATAATTACCTTGCCTTTATTAACCATTCTTAAATGTATGTATCGCTTACCATTTATTTCAATGTTTAATATTAGAAGTGTTTTATCTCCTTATTTAGAAGTTTGGTGATGTTTTCATGACCAGAAATATGCTGTAAAAACTTAACCTTCGTTTATATCAATTAGCCTAGGGTAAAACTGGTTTCATTATACGTCATTTCGCATAGTCAAAGTTTCCAAGAACCTATCGATGATTTTAAGTGAGGACTTACTGTACTTGGATCTATTTCATTGATTACTGTGACAGGGCCCTAAAACAGAAAATTATATTAGAACTAAATATCAAAAACTAAAGACTTGGCCAGGCACAGTGGCTCACACCTGTAATCCTAGCACTCTGGGAGGCTGAGGCGGGTGGATCGCTCGAGGTCAGGAGATCGAGACCAGTCTGAACAAGAGCGAGACCCTGTCTCTACTAAGAATAGAAAGAAATTAGCTGGAGAACTAAAAATATATATAGAAAAAATTAGCCGGGCATGGTGGCGCATGCCTGTAATCCCAGCTACTCGGGAGGCTGAGGCAGAAGGATTGCTTAAGCCCAGGAGTCTGAGATTGCTATGAGCTAGGCTGAGGCCATGGCACTCTAGCCACAGGAACAGAGCGAGACTGTCTCAAAAAAAAAACAAAAACAAAAACAAAAACAAAAACTAAAGACTTATGCTAAATCTTGGTAATTTTAATAAAAGAAGTCTTTGGAATAGCCAAGTGATCTATGGTAGATGAGCTGTCAATTAAAAAAAAAAAGAAAGAAAAAAAAACCACTTTTTATTTAGATAACACAGGTATGTTTACCTTCTTTCCTTGGCTGACAAATGCCTCCGGCTCTGTGATTTACTGTCACTCTGTTAAAACAAAGAAACAAGCAAATGCAAACAGTAACGTCACTATCATTAATTTTTCAAAAAGCAAAAAAAAAAGTAGCGAAGAATTCATTGAGAAGAATATGGTGTTTTTCATAAAACTTTAAAAACAGCTTACTGAATTAGAAGATTCCTCTTTTGAAGCCAATTTCTGGAGGGACCTATGAAAACAAACAGAAAGAGGAGTCTACTAGCCCGTACAAGACATTCCTTTACTAAGTCCCAAAACACTCACAAATCATCATCTTAATTATTGGCAATCCTACAAATTTTCAAATCTGGTAAAATTAGCAAAACACACAATTAAAATTGTTTATCTCTATACACTTTTATATATATTCTTAAACAGGTGGCATCTATTGAAAAATTACTATGTGCCAGGCATTGCTAGATACTTTACATGCATAAAATCTTACCAAAATGCTATGAAAGGGATTATCACTCCATTTTCATCAAGAAGGAAACTAAAGCTAAAACACACAGTCACTTGCCCAAGGATACACTCTAAGACTCAATACTGGTCTGTCAGAATAAGCTGTTCTTTTTTTTTTTTTTAGACAGAGTCTCACTCTGTCGCCCGGGGTAGAGTGCCGTGGTGTCAGCCTAGCTCACAGCAACCTCAAACTCCTGGGCTCAAGCGATCCTCCTGCCTCAGCCTCCCAGGTTGCTGGGACTACGGGCACACGCCACCATGCCCGGCTAATTTTTTTCTATATATTTTTAGTTGTCCAGCTAATTTCTTTCTATTTTTAGTAGAGACAAGGTCTCGCTCTTGCTCAGGCTGGTCTCGAACTCCTGACCTCAAGTGATCCTCCCGCCTCGGCCTCCCAGAGTGCTAGGATTACAGGCGTGAGCCACTGCGCCTGGCCAAGCTGTTCTTAATAACCCCCCCAAAATAATGCTTTTACAACATGAATTGTTCACCTGGTGATCAGTAAGACATTAAAGACTGAAACACTTTATACATTTTTGAATGGAATTGCCTTTGTTTTGTTGTCAGCATTTATAATCACTTACTTGTTTCTATTTTGACCTAGTTTGGCCACTTTTATATTTAGCATATTTTTCTACCCTGGTCCTGGGAGCTTCTTTAAAGAGAGACCTAATCGAATGGTGAAAGAATAGTGAGACAACAGAGGATAACAGTACTGAAGTCAATCTTGGTATTATCTTTTTTTCCTCATTTTTTTTTCCATAGCCATTCCAGCTGGACTTTGTAAGGATTATCTTATCATTATTCTCAGCTTACAAAGTAAAACTTAGAATTATGTTTTTTAATTACCTTTGGGATTGAAGGTGGGACAAGTCAATGGTAGTATCAGGATAATTTAATGTCTCTTCCCCTTCATCCTTCATTTCACCAACAGGATCCTGACCTTTCATAACCTCTTCAGATTCTCCTTCATCTTCAGAGCTTTCTTCCTGAATTAGTTCCTCATTTAGTTCATCTCCACCACTCTCAACAGTAATATCCTCTTGGTTAACCTGAGTCACGAGTTCCACTTCTACAGGAATTTCATGTAATTCCTCTTTATCTTCTTCACTGCTAGTGTCACCTCCGTCTGTAGAATTATCATAAGGAAAGTCAGTCAGTTATGGGACTACCAACAAAGTTAGGTGATTTTCTTGAAAACTTCATAAAATTATTCCATTGACTCCCTGTTTTTCTGAAAGATCACCAGAAAAAGTCTTGATCATCCCCAAAGGGTACTCTAAGACAAAAGGATACTCTGTATCATGAATAGGCTGAACTAAATGATCTCTAAGATCCTTTACCACAATAAATTTCTTGAACATTGTTACCATTTCTACAATGAGAACCATAACTTTGCCTTTGTTGGGTATTTCGAAACAGCAAGACAATAAAATTAGATGCATAAATTCTGCTTTTATTATAATTTGCACATGAAAACTGAAATAATACGTTATGTATAATAACTGGCACATAGGATGTGCTCATACTTTTGCAAAAGAAACACTGTCTAATAGTAATAACAGGGTCTAATTGCCTCACCTGCAAATTAAGATGCCACCATCCATCTGACAAGGATGGTTGTGAGAATTAAGTAAAAATAATATAAACAAAGCACTTTATACAGTGCTAGGACATGGTGAACCTCAATCAATAGAATCCTGTACCACAAATGGAGTTGTAAATGAAACAATGCAATATTACTCCTAAAAACAAATGACTCTAGGAGAGAGAATAACTACAAAAGTAGTTTAGAGGGCATATTTTCCTTAGTTCCCTTAGGTACATAGGTAAATTTATTCTAGGAACCACAGTTGCTCTCTGCTTGAAGCAATTATATTATTAAACCAAGCCAAATTCTCATATAAGAAACTGCACTTGTTATAAATTCATCTGTAATTTCTAATTCCTAAACCCAAAAGCAAATGCTCATTCATATATACCTGAGTATCTCTGCTAAACACATTTACCCATTATCCATTAAATATTGAAGTTTTATTACATAAACATAAAGTATATTTGTATGGATCTAATTACTTTTTAATTCACTAGAATAAGTATAGCTAACATTTCCAAAAACAAAATTCAGTAAAATTGGTAATTATTTTTTGAAATTTAGATTACACCAAAAGAGACAAGATCTTCTACCTAAAGATTTAGAAGCAAAATCAGACAATAAAAAACATCATAAGCTAATTTCTTAAAATCTACAAACTACCTAGTTGTTCCATTTCTTCTGATATGAGTTCACTTGTGCAACTTGCCAGTGTCTCCATGTCTTCATCCTGCACTCTGACTTTTCGTTCACCCCGATGTCTCCAAACACAAGACTCATCTACCTATAGAAATAGTTCTTTTTCATTGATGGAGCCTTAGATAAGACTAATGGAAGTCAGAAAAAAAAAAATAACCAAGAAGCTGAACAGTACCTTAAAGAGGAAGCTAAACCCCATCATTAGATATGAGGGAGGAAGAAAATTCTTTTTGCCTACAAAAGATAATATACGTTAATGTTTCAAACTTTTGTTTGCAAAGTATCTGACACCAACAGTCATATCCACTTTGTCTTTTACTCTGTCATGAAGAACATTTACAGAATTTGGCATTATATATAGAAACAGTTTTTATTAAGAAGAAAAAATACGCGTGCTTGCTCTCATCTTTTGGGTTAGTCAGACCCAGGATATTCTATTTTCAGAAGAACAATCGGGCTATATTTTCTTACCTTTATAACTAAACTATGGGAAACCACATTCTCATCAATAAAAATATATATGAAGATGACATGACAAATGCTAAATATGCCACATTAAGGCAAAAATTTCCTTATTTCATAACAAATTTCCTATGTGAAATCTGAGTAGTTTCCCTTCTGAAAATACTTGTAGATGGTCCTTCAAACCCGTCTCTCTAATCAACTAACAAGCCTAGAGATATTTTTCATGTCAAGCCATTACCTCTTATCATGAAGCTTCCTGTTGTCAAATATTCTCCAGTTGGTGCTGTTTTAGACACCTGAGGAACACAAATAATATGTTATATTCTTGTTTTTACAATACTCAGGTTTTTTTTTTCCCAACTCGAGGAAGTAAAGTCAGATTCAAGTAAGCAGTACTATGTTCTGAAAAGTTTACAATTTGGCAGAATTCTCAACACTGAAGGGATAGATATCCCTTCAATGATAGTTACACCTTTGGCAGTCAGTAACAAAGAAATAACAAAGTATCCATTGCATTAGTAATTTTCAAATGCCATGGACTAGAGTCAGAACTGGTCCACTTCCAGTGTGAGATACAATGAAAAAAGTAAGGATAGTTTAATAAGCTTATCATAAAGTTACATTTACTAAAGTAAAGCTCTATTTATAAAATAAAAGTGTTTTTGAGATACTTTTTTTAGTAATTAAATAGCCTTTCAATTTAGAAAATAAAGATGATAGCAGATTTTTTTTTTTTTCCGCTAAAGATACAGGCTCCATAGCTTACAGTAGCCTGGAACTCCTGGGCTCAATGGATCCTCAGACTCCCAAGTAGCTGGAACTACAGGTGTGTGCCACCACGCCTGGCTAAGCTTTAAAAATTTTTTTGTAGAGACAGGGTCTCAACTATGTTGCCTAGGCTGGTCTTAAACTCCTGGCCTCAAGTGATCTTCCTGCCTCGGCCTCCCAAAGTGCTGGGATTAAAGGCGTTGAGCCACCGTGCCTGGACAACATAGCAAGTTTTTAAAAATACACCCTAGTTTGGCAAAACAGAAAGTAAGCTTATCTCATAATTTAAAAAAAATTGTATAAATCTGTGAAACCCCTAAATCTGAGAGTGTCTTTATTAGTCCTAGTTATTAAAACAGGAAGGAATTAAAAACGCTATATTTCATCCTAAAAAATTTCTTCATAAAAGAATTAAAACTGCATTTTTAACAATACTGAAGTAGAACTTATTATAATTCAATATTGACAGTATCACAGAATACCAGTTAATAAATATAAATAGATATAAAATGAAACTAAAACTAAAGGAGGATAATGGAACTGAACTATTTTCATCTTACTGTATAGCTTTAGAATCTTGTAAAAGTATATCATTATCAATTATTAATATAATTCTCAAAAGTATGAAATCAATAGCAATATGATAGTCAAATGTTGTCAAATAAAACAGCATTAGCCATGAAGAAGGCCAATTACTAAAACTAAATAAATAAAAAAACACAGGATATAGCTACTTTTCCGGAAAGGCCTAAGAGAATTCAGAAAATTCCAATAATAACGAATAGGAAAAAGACCTCTTAGGTCAGTATGCCAGTAGTAACTGGAACCCTCTTTATCTAGTACAATTGCATGGCTCACTCTCTGTTCATTTAGGTCTCTGCTCAAACCTTACCTTCCCAGAAAGCCCTCCCCTGATACTTTATGGAAAATGGTAGCCCTATCACTGTCCTCTTCATTGCTTAAAAAATAATTTTTATAGCACTTATTCCCTGACATTATGTACATATTTTTCTCTACCACCAAAATGTAAGCTCTTTCAAGGTAGGTACTTTGTCTGCCTTATTCACTTCTATACCTCAAAAAGGGGCACACAGTAGCTCTTAGTAAATTAAGAAAAAGGATCACAGCCCTTATTACCTGATGATGGTACACCCACCAAGCACTAGTGATTACTCGTGCATCCCAAGCAGCACTGTAGCAAAGTGCCATTGTGCCAGCTTCAGTCAAGGTCCGTGGGGGGATGGGCTCTCCTGTAATAACCAAAGTACAGACTATCTATGGAGCAATACATGAAAATCACATGCAGCATGACAGGTTGGATTGTCTTTTATTTTAAATACTTTTTACTTTACCATTATAAAAAGTTACCATTTTTATTAAAATGGTATTTACATGGCAGGCTTTTAAAGGACCTATGTAAATAAAACAAGTCGGAGAAGAAATATCCTCTCATTTATATCAATAATACTAACTTCACTCTAGAAAAGATAATTTAGAAAAATCT